AGAAATCCATGAATTATGATGTCAAGAGTACGACAGTCTGTAATGCTGCCACAGTAATTCAAATCTCTGGGATGGTGAATATGATTTTCATCTTAGATAACTAAATGAAAAGTATATTACTACCTGGAAGGTAATACTAAATGGCAACAAAAGATTAAGCTAATTATCACTGTGCTTCTGTATCGTATATGTCTAAACAGAGTGCTTTCCTGGAATACAAGGGAATAACATTTCAAATACTATTGTTAATTACGTAAGACCACGTACGTTAAGTTACCTAAGATTAAAGGTCTTTCTCTTCTGTAAGAGGGAGGGAGCAACTTAAAAGCATTTAGAAAATGAGCAGTTTTCAATTCTTTTCAAAGGGATAAGAAAATGCCCAGCCTTGAGTCCCTGGCAACAGAATCTTGGACCAAAAGAAATTCTTGTGCTCTATTCCTAATTCCCATGGTATGACTCAACACTGTAATTATGGGGGGGGGGGAAGGTTTAGCCATTTTAATTTGAGAAAGACCTATTTTTCCTAATCCTTCCTGTGAAACTGTGTGAAGTAGCACAATAAATTCAAATAAACTGCAGTGGTTGACTGACTTTTGTTTTAACCATGCGACAAAATCCAGATATGATTCGACTCTGAGCATTACATGGAAACAAGTCATCATTCGCAGAGGTTAAATTCATAAAAACTATTTTTCCAGTACGATGCTTGATGTTTCCTATTCTTTCCATTATTTTATTCCTATTTGGGCCTGCTTTCCTGGCAGACACTGCTATGATACCACAAAGTCTGTTGTCCATAAATTTTTCAGCCCCTCCCCCCTTATATTCAAACAGTGTCCAAACAGATACCTGAGCAGAAAAAAATCTTGGCCTCAACTGTCACATGGGTTTCTTGTGGCTTCCCCTCATTAAAAATAAAACCTGTCCAGAAATTCTTACACCAATCAACAAAATACATACGCGTGTGTCGCTCTCTCAGGGTTTCTCATGACAATATCATGCCACTATACAACACAGCCTGTGCATGCAAATTAGATGTTTTCTGCTTATTTTTTCTGGAAAGAACGTTTTTAGAGCAGTAGTTCTTAAGCTTTACTGAAGTTTCCACCCTTCTGGTTCTCACATTACTTATAAAGAATCATTGATTTAAGTAATTTGTATTTTCAATTATTCACTTTCTAAAAAAAATCTGGTATCTTTCACACCCCCAGGGTGCACCTCAGGTTAAGAACCACTACATTAGAGGGTGATTTTTGTCATACATCCTGAAAGGCTTTACAGAAACTTTACTTCTGAGGCTAAAAACACACTAAGCTTATTTTGTCTGGTTGGCAACTGTCAAAGAACAGTGGACCTAGCTGATGTCAACATGGTGCAAAAACACTGCTGTGGACATCTTTTACATGCAATGTACTTTCACTGGAGTTTACATCTAATCCCCTAGTCTACAACTGTTAAAACACAAGAGTATGCTAACAGTAGAACTAAAGCTTTTAGGAAGAGGAAATTTGATGAATTTTGTTTTCTCAGACACACCTGAAGAAGGCTCCAAAGTCTAAACAGTGTGTCACTTTTCTTTTGAGTATGGAATAAACCTTTATTTGTTCCAATATAGTTCTGTTTTGCACCCGACTAATAGTTTATTACTATAATAATTCCTTAAGAAATCCTTAATAAAAATGACTACTTCTCATCCCAAAGAAGAGAAGTACACACAGGAAGAGAAGAAGACTCAATTCATTCATGACTGAAGTGCGCCATTCACTGAAGTGACCACATACCACAACAAAGCAGGTGAAGAAGTGAGACGTTGCTTCACCAACTGAAATAAGTGGGAACTTTAGGGAAGCCAGACTGTGAAAGTCCAGAGTGGAATTTAATGAAGACACCATGGTTTACAAACCTACACTTAAGGTGAATGTCAGGGGATAATTAATGACAAAATTGTAGTAAAGAACCAAGTTTAACATCTCTAAGGAAGGATGACACCTCTGACAGCACAGTGGCCCTGGTCAACATATTGGAGCACTGGTTTCGAAATTCAGTTCCAGAGTCCGGAGTGCAATCTACCGATTCCTTTCCACCTCTTACAGCTGTAACATCCCAGCTGCATCCCAGGACTGATCAGACCCATCCTTACTCAGCTTCTAAACTGTATGACGGCAAAGCGACTGCTAAAACCTAATTAATAGTTTGCAAAGCTACAGGCTAAATATTACTTTGCGGGTATTTTACTTTTGTTATAGTCAGGCTACTGCTACATGGTAGTTAAAATCACTATGGTAATGGTGGCACACTGTACTACATTGGTGTAGAGAGGACAGATCCAGTCCATGTCTTCGACACACTCAGTTTGATAAGCTTATAGAGGAGCACTAATGTAGCACCCAGGCTCCTGGGATTTAGGAAGGACACCCAATTAGTTACACACATGCATCTGCAAACTCTCCTAATATTTATTACTATCATGTGCAATGTGAATACAAAGGCCTGCTGCATGCAAAGTTCTCAAGGCCCAAATTTAAACTATACCAGGATTGACAGTATTTTACACCAAAGTCTCTCAGAGCTATCCCAGCATTCTAGGATTTCACAACAAAGAAAAATCCTTCCAACTCACTGTGAGTGATGAAGACTGTCTGGCCATTTAGTGAGAAGTAAATGTCATAATACACAACCTCCGACTGGGAGGTGAAAATGGCTTTGAACTTTCCAAAGCTGAGAAGGCAATTTTAACTGGAAAGCCTTGTTTTTAAATAAAAATGGGCAAAATTCCTCAGTTGGTCTACTCAACAGAGGAAAGAGGAACCTTTCAAATGGATCCTTTTTAACACATCACACTAACTAAAAAAATGCAGATGAGTACCTGTGGTAAATCCAGGTTGTTGTTTGCTAATGCAAATGAACTCAGCCTCTAATGAAACTGAAATAATTTTCAGGGAATGTAAGCAGAAAGCAGAGACACCCCGAGTAGGAACTCACAAAAGAGTGTGACTTGTGGTCTTGAAAGATGAAGAAGTTATCACAATTTCAATTGAAATAGCCTCTCAAAGACTCAGATGCTACATGTTAACATCCCTCTAAAGAGGCTCCAGTGTCTGATTTTAGATGTATAACGTAAGAGTAAATATCCTCAGTCTATCAGAAACTACTTTTTAGTTGCACTCCTCAGGTTTATGGGCATTCTCCAAATCAAAAAGGACTGTACAATTTTCAAATGACTGCATGATGTAAGACTAATTATGACACTGCTGCATCACCTTTCTGATGGAAACCTCCATCACTGTACCTCCCTGACTGATATTGGACCACATTCACTACATAGCTACTTTCTGCACAGTGCAACACATAAAAGAGAACTCAGGTTTGTTTGTTTTGTTTGTTTTTTGCTTTATGACTATAGCTACTTTGCTATTTGCCATTAATAGGGTTAGGTTTCAAAAGGGATATAACTGATAAAGCAATAATTAGTAAAATGCTGATGTGCAAACTGAGCATGTTGTTACTTATTTGACTTGAGAGTGCAGTGTAATTGTGGTAGAGAAAATTGTGCTACACTGCCGACTAAAATTTTAAAGAGTGCTCCATTTTTATGTTTGTCACGATAGTACGACGAAACAAAAAGTACAATCACAGAAACGGTTGATAATGTTCGTTTTTTTCTCACTATCAGATTTTCTCGAGATAAAGCTGCTGTGGATTTTAAAGCCCATTTGTTGATATTGGCAAGAATCCTTAGGTTCTCCAGCGTGAACTTACTACAGGATTGCCGAATAAAAAATGAATCAGACAGCTCGTTCTAATATAACAACACTTCAGTACTGCTGTGGGAGACCTGTCTTCTACTGCCCACGTGCTAATGTCATTTATCATAACCCTGTGATTACTCTTCGTCATTTCTGAAAAACTAAGACAATGGTGAATTTGCTATTTAGTAGAAATCTTGGCTATAATTTATCGAGCACTTATTATTCAACTTGGGTAACAGTCTATTGCAAAAACTGAAATTAACTCAGATTAAGTTAGGGTTCGAGATCGTGCATAGGCGTAAGATGTCAGTAACGTTTCCAGACAGCGCTTCATAAAACCGATCATTTACACTAAACGTCAGGCAGTAGCAAAACGTAGCATTCCCCCGTACGACGTAAACATTTGCAGATATAAAGACAACTGTTTTGGTATTTGAAATGCATTGCTACCTAATTAAATGTTTATGGCGCCAAACCTTAAACATAAGAGTTGAGATATAAATATTTATCTATATATATATATTCTAACAATATCTTGCACGGACGCATCAAAAGACGTTCTTTTTTATATAAGAAACGCCAGCAAAAATGTAAGGCTGTTGTAAAAGCAAAAGGTCTTAAAGCGACACGTTCTAGAAAAGACCCAAATGCAAAGGCAATATCGGAAAATCGATTCCTGTTGCTCTGAAGAGAGAGAACAAATCTGCAAAACGGCCACTGAAGTTTGTCTTTTAAATCGCTTGTTACTGAAGCTGTATTTACTTTACTCAGTGAAGTGAGGAAACAAACACTGAGTGGACTTTTAAATTCAAACTGAGGCTTCGGAGATGTGCGTTTAAATTCAAACTTCCACAGAGTGCAGAGAAAGGCGAGAGATACAACCATCGGCCTAGACATCTCAGAAGCGATCACGACGGTGTACAATACAAAAAAAAAATGACCAATTAAAAATCAAGAGAATTTTTCAAGAATTACATTCTCAGCGGTAAAGCCTAACAGAACACCAAAGTTTGGGTAGTGAAGTAACTTCGTTACAAAGCAGAAAATAACGTAAAGTAAAATGCGCTGAAGAAATCGGAATATAGTACATATATTTTTATCTTATTTTGCTAGTTTTTGACTGGGCTCTGGGCCTAGCCAGGGCAGCCTGGGTGAGAAATAGCCGCATCCCATTCACTACAATGGGATTTTGCCTCTATGGCTGCATTCGGGCACAGACCAAAAGCAATCAGTAAAAATGCAACACTTTACCTGCTCCAAGGTTTCACAAGTGACTTCGGGTCATTATTATGGACGCCCTACGCGTTTTATTAAGCTGCTATGTCCTTCAATAGTCTGCAAAATTCTTCTCATTTACTCCGTTTCTCTTGCTGGTTCTTCCACTACACCTCCCAAGCCTGGTCTCTCTATTGCTCCTGTGTCACACAGTCCTTTCTCTCCCGGGTCCTAAAGCCGACAGATCAATGCTCTTTCACCTTATTTGCCTTTTCCCCAACTCGGAAAGGTTCACTTTCCGCCGGCTGCCTTGCTTTGTAAGAATGAAGAATGATGACTCTTCATGCCTCCACTCAGCGGGATTTAAGCAAATAGCCAGTACCCTAACGCATACACCACAACAAACGTTATTTAACCACCCTTAGAAAAATACATATTTGTGTAACAGGATTCTTCAAATCAAGTCAGCATTTAAAAGCCTCCAATAGCAAAGAACTGTAAACGGCAAAATTCCCCTCTAGCACCTAAAATCAGTTTATCAGGTTCAATAACAACACGCTGACTGTGCGCTTTTTAGCTTTTTTTTTACTTCCTTACCAAATTTTAACATCTAGTTTCACCTTCATTGCACCAGCAAATTCCAGATATGACAACGGTAGATAATACTTGGTTTAATCCCCCTAACTGGTCTGGTGGAATCCTCATATCACAATTTGTAACTCCAAGAATTTCCGACTGACTTTGGTGGTTAGTTTTTTTTTTTATTGACACCTGTTAATTTTTAACTAATAATCAGGACAGAACCTTAAATGTTCAGAAACATTCTAAAAACAGGAAATATACTGTATATTCACCTCACCACCACCATTCCACAAATTGACAAATAAAATGCATGTGTTGAGAACATCAGTGTGCTTATGTCATTTGAAGTGAATCAGACTGTAGATTTATTCATATTCTGGCTACTGTGCCTAACATGTCTTGAAGCAGAAGGAATTATTAGTTACCTTAAAAAGTTATATTTTTTTATTACTATTTCTCTTTGCCACTCCGGTTAAAACTATTTAAAGTACACACATTTCACATGCATACATGTTTCAGCTAAAATCTAAGAAATTGTATTTCACAGTCACACTGGTTAGGATAGAAAAAACAAAAATGTAACCTGAAACATACTGCAGTATGATGAAAAATATTTTATGTTTATGTCAGTTTATAGTATTTAAATATATCCACAATAATTGCATAATGGAACAAGTAATAGGTTTATTCCGTGCTGAAAAGAGAAGAAAGAAAACACAACGTTTCAGCTGTGAAGCCTTCTTCGGGTGTGAGCCAAAATGTTGAGTTTTCTTTCTTCTCTTTTCAGCATGGAATAAACCTATTACTTGTTCCTTTGCAGCCTACGCATGCTGGGGCAGCTTCCCACCCGAAATAATAATGGTTTGGTTTCTATGATCTAGGTATATTCACATTGTCATTTATAACCAGCAGATACATTTCTAATTATGTAGTGCAGATCAAGTGATTTTTAAAAACAAAACCTAATGATTGGAGCTGTCTCTTGGGTATTCACCAGATATTTTAATACAGAATATGTGAAACACACCTGCTGAAAAAAACGTTAGTAAAAATGTAATAATAATTGATGACTTGATAGCCTCTTTCTATCATTATTCTGCATCACTTCAATATTCAGAAGACACCTAATCCTTGTGATCTAGACATACAATTAATTAATTCAAATATGTCTCAGAGCAGCGCTAAGGCAATTAATTAAGCTGAAGCAAACTAATTAGTTGTGATTGTGAGGCTAGGGGAAGAAATGTTTGAAAAGAACAGAAGAACAAAAGCTCTGGTTTTGGAATTAACATCTTAAAAAATAGAAACCAAAGATTTATAGTCTCAAATTAGATAGTATGATGTCACATATGACTACATCTGGTTATTATTAAGTTGCTTTTTTGATAGTCAGTGAATGTAACAATTGGTGCACAGCTGTCTGTGATACAGTTAAAATGAATGAAAATAATGAGTATAAATCAGAACTACACTACCAAAAATACTTTCTAAATATGTATGTCACCTTTTTTGGTAACAGACAGTCAAGATAGATCTCTTTTCTGGCAACCCTAGTATCTGAAACTGCCCACACATGTAAAGAGCATCCTGTAATTGTGGGAAGTACCACCCCCCTCCCCCTCTAAAGTTATGCAGTGCATTTCCATTTTCAGTTTCGAATAGTCAGGTATTCTTAGAAGTAGGAGTCGTGTGATGAATTCGGCCAAAATGCTGGGTTTTCCGAGATGTGCGTCTACTCTTCTGAGGAAATCCCCTGACTGAAACGGTGACCAGAAAGCTCCAAGACAAGAAGCTGCAGTCAACAGCATCCAAACTCCCTTTTTTCTATTGTGCCACAAGCTGGAGACTGGGGTTGTACAGAATAAAACAGCTGAAAAGTGAGGATTTCAAACAACTCCAAGGACATTTTAAGTGCCCGCAAGCACTAGTCCTAATGACTGACAATGATCTTTTGAAGTTCACTGTAACAGATCAATGGCATAAAGACCCTGGGATATAGCTGACCTTCCAAATAAATAAAAAATATTGCTGCTTAGTCCTTAGTTGTCCTTCCTGATGGTTAAGCAATCTTTGCCCAAGGATATCATTATTATTTTAACAATTCAGTTTTCCATTGTATGGGTTTTATCAATTGTAGCACACTGTATTTATGTTAAAACAATGTTTTTTTATTTATGTTTAGGACACTGTTTCTATTGTTAAAACTAGGGCGAATTTGTCGGTTGCTGCAGAATTTAAAAAATATCAGACAGATGGGAAATAGTATTTGTTGTGACACACCGTTAGCAAAAAACAAATTTGAAGTGTGGCACTGAGAGAAAAATGCTAAACAGCATCACAACATTGTTTTTGATAGAACCAGTATAAAGACCAGGATAATACTTAAAATAGAGATCCTGCACATAAACCATTACACTTTAAGAATTTAACACTGACACTATAGTTTGACTTCACTATGATTCTAAACATACTGTTAACATGCTTTTTTTTTGGCATTAATGAGCTTTGTCATACATCCATCACTGCAATTCCACAGAAAAATAAAACCCTGGAAGAAAACCTGTCTGTCTGGCTTTGTGAATTAGTAGCTTTTCCTTGTGCTGGTGACTCCTGAAATCAGTCAAGTACATTAAAGGATAGAAGTTGTGCTTGACAACTAAGCAAAGCTTCCTCCCATAACTGGCAGCACAAGTGCCAAACATCAGCACTCTGGTCCATTCGGAACACATCATGGTTCCCTTCCTGCCACTTTTACTACATGGTCATTTTTGTACCACTGTGTCTCCCTCCATGCACATATCTCAGCTGTCTATTTTTTTCACTGTAAAAAGTATCACAGCTCCACATATAAAAATGACTATTAAGCATTTTCAGGGGGAATGTCTGAGTCAGCAGTACACAGGAAACGTTAAAGGACATAAACAGGGAACAATAAAAAGACAGGGAAGAAGGATAGAAGGAAAAATAGACAAACACTGCACACCTGAGTTTGGAATAATGGTGCCTGGTGCCTTTATAAATTCAGGCGTGTAAGAGTGCAATGGTGATGGACCACATCTGGCACAGGCTTAATGATGATCAAAAAGCAAACCACTAATGTAGGCTACAGCTATGGGTACGCTTTAGTGCAAACATCATACAACTGCATAGCAACAGCAAAACTACTGTCCTTTATTATTGAATTTTATAGTACCCTGATGAATAATTTGTGCATAAATGTTTATGCAGATTATGCCATTGAGCCACATCAGCTGGTTTGCATTGGCACCCAGTCAGTAGTGCAATCAGAGCTGAAAATGTAGTAGCACTTGGAAGCGACAAACATGATTTCTATTCTCACTACATGTTTAAATTATTTTAAAATGGGCTCAAAGTTGGAAGAATGTGCTTGCTTAAGGCAACAGCAGGCTTTTCCAAAGGGGTGGTGGCTATTTTTTTTTTGCTTTAAAAATCACTTGGTTCTGTTTATTCGGACACATTTTTAAAAGAGATTTCGTACTGCAGCTGTAGTAACTGTTCAGCTGGAGTTCGGCGATGCTGATAAAATGATAAAATGATACAGGTAGACATACAAAGCTGCTGTGCAAATTTATAACAGCTAACTAGTGTAGTGCCTCAGGCTTGAGCGCTATGACTTGATAGCAGATTCCATAGGAATGTGAGCCCTTTGTTCCCCCCTCACAAGGAATGTATTGTGGTAACACTGGTGGGGAATGCTATTGATGGTAACAAGAAAGAATGCATCTCCAGGAAGCCCATTCCCATGTGAGAAACCACACCGCTCGTACTCTGCCAGACCTTGGGCAGTCCAGCCCAGCCCCAAAGCACAACTGTTGCTTTGTTCGCCCACACTTTCAAGCCAGACAGTCAGTGTTGAAAATAAGAGGGTCACATTCACCAAGGATCGTGCACCCAAAACTGTCATTGGCACCCATTTGTGTTATGGCAACTCATGTCTCCGTTGTATGAGCAGAACTGTACTTTGCATTTTGATTGATCCATTTTCTCACAGTGTCGTGATTTCTCTTCAGTGGCTTATAGTACTGTATGTAAACTTATTAACAAACTGGGTAGTGTCAATCATTCTGCACATCTATTTTACCTAGCTCCACGATTCTTAAAAAATTAGTATTGGAAAACATTTTTTTTACTTTAAAGTTTATTCATTAGTATAAGAAGGTTCGTAGAACCTACCCCCTCAAAGTAATACTCTAGCTTTGTCAAACAGTTTTCTCTTCACTTCATCATTATTAAAAAAGGAACGCAACTTTACAACTATTCTAACATTTCAAAAATCACAGCAAGACAAAGCTAAAAGTGCTTACATATTTTTTTTCAGTGATTTGCAGAACTTTATGGGCTTTTCTGCTTATGTGTAAAGACCACCGTTTCACCATAAAGCACTTGAGTTATGTCATACATACTTTCTTTCTAATTGACGTTCTTAATAATAGAATATCACGCTTTTGATGCATGGTTTGAATTAAAAATTCTAGCACCAACTGGCTATAATCATCATACTCAAAACACTAAATCACTCCTAAAGTAGTGAGGAGAGTAGTATTCTAAATTCTTTTTGAATTGAATGCACACCACATTTTACGAAAGCATTGGTGATTTATGTTTAATTTCTGAGTTTAACAAATAAAACTGCTTTGGCAAAGTCAGCACTCCGTGTTAACGACTAAGAATTTCATTATCACTATTCCAAATTAAAAATAACAAAAA